AAATGCATGAATTGCTTGGAACAGTTTGGCAAATGATAACACTCCCAATGAGAAAAAATTTCTGGGTTTAACTCCTCGCAAAGTGAAAAAACCAATCTTCCTAGATCAAATTAAAATATGTCTTAATAAGGAATATGGTGAGTATATAAAAAAATATAATAGACTTCTATATATTGCTGAATTTGAAATTAGTAGATATCAGGAATATATTATTCCATACGATTGGATAGGTAGAAAGAAAAACCAATTACAGAATAGATTTCAAGAGCGTCTTTTAAAACTTGAAATATAAATAAAATCGATTTATTAATATAATATTTTTTGTAGAAAGGTAGTTGTCCACCGTTTTTCTAATGCTATTTTTGAGAGTGAGAGGCACATAAGTGCCATTGTTTCACAATAAGCTACGAGTTTCTGACTCATTACAATTAGGTATGCACAAAGTGAATAAAAATCTATGAAGTGCATACTATAACACTATAGACTTTTCATTTCTGCGAAGCAGGACACTTACGTGGCTAATTTTTCAGGTTCAGAATTCGTGAGCTCCGTAGGTAATGCATTTTTTGTCTTACGCTTCTGATGTAACTCTATTTCTTTCTGCAAATCTAATGGGGTATCGAACCTCAACTGGATTGCAAGTGGATCGTCCTCTGCTCTATTAAGGTCAAATACAATAAACTCACTCTTGCGAAGATAGCTATTAATGACCATTGATGCACTTTTTACATCATCAGTATACCGACCAACAATTTTGGAAACATCTTGAGAAGAACTACTACTGTTAAACATTAATATATGAGAAAGATTCTCATGTATAATCATTGGGACATGATGATATTTTTGCATGATAAATATAGGTAAAATATTCTGATGATGTCCATATGTGAAAAATGGGATAATTCGATTTTATATAGACTCAGGTGCAACACATAAATCTTTAAAGATAATAACAGTACTTCTTTTGGGGGAGAAAGATTTTACACTAGGAATTTTTTCAGGTGAGATATAACTAAACCTAATATTTTCATAATATGATGCTCTTGGATTACTTGCAATTATTCCATACATATATCTAACAAAAGCCCATTTTGGTTCCTCAGGATGGTATCCACAAACTATCAAATCATCACACTGTATATATCTAGATCCATCCTTTTTCTTTTTATATATATATTCAGCTTTGTTACCAAGAACAAGATTTCCGAATATATTAGTCTTACCTGTGCCACTTTTTTCTGTAACTAGCTTAGCGAATGGCCATGACATTGCTGGATGCCCAATATAGTATGATGAAGCATGCTTTGTAGTCTCATCCATATCCATAAGAAAAAGTTTCATTGGAGGTAATCTTGTTTTTGAGTTTTTTTGCATGACGGATTGGGAATCCATAACTCTGTTTTCTATATACTGGATAAAAATTTTCTTTCGCCTGATAATTTACTTCACTTTGTTCATTCATGGTCGGTTTAGGCACATTAGTGCCTCCACTCTGTGAGTATATTCCAGAAAACAAATTACTGAAGGTGGTCATACTGTGGGTATAATCTGGCTTCGAGTTCAAAGAACAAGAAGGTAGGGTTGGGCGAAAAATTTGCCTGTATATATACCATATAATTAATAATATTATCAAGGCAAAAATAACAAACTTAGCACCTAATGCTATAATAAGTAATTCCTTACTTCTTCCTATTGTAATATTATGAGATCTAATTGGAGTCACATTCTTTATCTCTTGAAATTGGTTTTCTGCATTAATTGGTTGTAATATATTATCTTTATTATTTTTATTAATAATAGTTTCATCACTTACCTTAGAAGTAATCTCAGTATCGATTTTTGAAGATTCTAATATTGGAACAATTTTATTATTAGTATGAGTTGGTATATCAGTGCTAATTTTTTCGACTTCGTTCATAATTTTTCTGTGTGCAAAATATTGACTGAGATTTTTGCTAGTTTCACTAACTGCAGAGATATTATTATTGCAAAGCAATGACCCTTCGGGTCTAGACTTTGATATATTTTTTTCACTATCTCCACCAATCACAGATATTGAAATATCCTCTAATTTTAGACGCTCAAGCTCACTGACATTAGAATCTAATTCAATCTTTATATTTACCAATTCAGCTTTGAGGGACATTATCTCAGAATCTTTTTTTGATAAGTATTTCTGAGTTAAAGATAATTCTTCTTCCAATGACTTGATTCTAGATTGGAATGAATTTGCTTCTTTCAACTTACTATAATACTTAGCTTTATACTCAGTAAGGTTGGTATTTTTGCTTTTCAACTCTTTAATTTCTTCTTTGAGTTGTTTTTTAATCAAGTC